TATGATATAGGATTTGCAATTCCTTAGAACAATCAGGTCCCTAAATAAAAAATATGTTGTACTTCACAGATGCTTTAGGTTGAACAGCAGTGGATGCTTTAGGTTGAATAGCAGATGACACATTATTGTCACATCATAACATATGCTCATTCACCATAGCAGCATCCTCCTGTGTGAAGCCATTTCAGACTACTTTCCTCCCATTGGTACCCAAAGATGTCCTGCAACAGAGAATTATTCTGACAGCAAACATTGCCATTTTGCTTCAACATGGCCATAGAATTTCTTGCCTGTCCCTTCTAGGGAGGCTTATATATCATAAATGCGAAGGTACCTCCTTCAATTGTTATGATGGTAGGACCAGACAAAAATGACAGAGAGATTCCCCTCTTAGTAAGCACTCCCCTAGTTTTGACCTAATGAGCTTCATCTTCTAGAAATATTCTAATGTACCCGAACCTCTGTTTCTCGCTCACTCGCTCTCTCACACATGGACTTGCATCCCACACATATAATTCACCTCAAATGTGAGCCGCACTTTCTGATGCTTGATGCTAAACATCCCGAAAAAATTGAAACTGCACAAGTCTCAACCAAATTAAAGTCAAGCAAAGTGGTGGGGCATTTATCAACTCAGGCAAAAGCAAAGAATCTAATTCCCAGCCCTTTTCTCTTAAGTGGAATAAAGCTAATATTCTAAGGACAATTTTTACGAAGTTAACTTCTGATTTATATCAGTAATTTCAACATCCATATATTATCTTGACCTTAAGGGAGTGCAGAAATGGAAATGACAGGCAAGAGGATGAGATGCAGACGTTGCGGTGTGCAACTAATGGTTCCCCCTAACACATATACAGTTCAATGTGCAACATGTCTAACTGTAATCCAGGTTCAACCTAACAATCCTCTAGACCAAGCTCATGACTCAATACGCCACACAGCTAGCAGGATGAAGGATTTGCTCTATACAGTATCTAGTAACATAAATGCAAGGGTATTTTCAGGGAACAGCTATCCTTGGTCATGGGCATCAGGTAATTCTCATCATTCACAATCAATTGCACCTTCCTTGCCGCTTTCAGCACTCGGAAGGAAGCGAGCAGTGTTATGTGGAGTAAGCTACTATGGACAGAAATACAGGCTAAAGGGAACTGTCAATGATGTAAAGTGTATGAGATATTTTCTGATTCAGAAGCTGGGTTTTCCAAGTGACTCCATACTTGTCCTCACTGGTATGAGTATTATTAAAATATCTTTCTAGCTTTCCCTCTCTCAACTCATTGTCACTACAAACAGTTCAGCTATATCCACTCAGCTTAATGTTAGCTCACATCCATCCAGCAACTTGTACCAAAAATATAATAGTTTGTCCATCTTAAACTTAACAAGATCTCCGTTGAACACACCTGTAGATGAAACTTTAAGAAAATAGATAGGACACTGCAAAAGCCTGCGATACAGAGCTGACAGCTGACCTAATAAAATTGCTGCTCTGATGGAAACTAGTTCTCACAAGAAGCTATAAATTTGACTGTAATTTATAACCAATGTTAAGTTAAATCTTTTGCGCCCTTTTTGCTCCCCTTTTCCTCTTGCAGATCTAAAGTTCAAATGGTAAGTTAAGAAATAACCTGAGATAACTTGTTTTGGCCAACTTCAGGTAACTTAAAAAACAATATTTATGACTGGTTTCTAAGAAAGGAAAAAAAAAAGGTCTTAACTGATGGATACAAATCACCATGCAGAAGAAGAGCCTGACCCTTGCCTGATCCCAACAAAGCATAATATCTGGAGTGCCTTGCATTGGCTTGTTCAAGGATGCCGATCAGGGGACTCGTTGGTATTTCACTACTCAGGTCATGGCTCACAACAACTTGACTTCAACATGGATGAGGTAGATGGGTATGATGATATGTTGTGGCCTGTAGATCACCAGACGGCCGGAAAAATATCAGATTACGACATTAATGCCACCATTGTGAGACCACTGCCCCAAGGAACCAAACTTCATGCTATCGTTGATGCATGCCACAGTGGCACAATTCTTGATCTGCCATTTGTATGCCGAATGAATAGGTCAGTGTTGTCCATTCTTTGTTTGACCAACCCAAACTGCCCATTTTGAAAAGTCTTTCTTCATTTTTAAAGCAAGGTTTACTATATTATAGAAATTATTATGATTATAGAAAATAAATTGCCAATCTATGATCTGAAAGGCAGATCTGTCATTAATATCAAAATGATCACTATGGTCTCCAGGGAAGGATATTATCATTGGAAAGATCATGGTATCCAGTCACCCATTTACAAAGGTACAAATGGCGGGCTAGCTGTCTCTATAAGTGCATGTGATGATCATCAAGTTTCAGTAGATACTACAGTCAGTAACTATTCTTTCCTTTCTTCCTGTTCAATAAATTACATTTTATCTTTCTAAAAGCTATGGACACAGCCATATTGTTTTCTCATTTTTAATATCACGAGCACTTGGGAGCATGAATGTTAATTTTGGTGCAACCTTGACACAAATGTAGCAATAAAAGTCATTGCATGAAACTCAAAAATTGAAGAGAATAGCACCAAATAAGTTAAGAGTAGGACATAATTGATGAGAGGAAAAATATACTTTCGGAATTGTTTTTTGTACTAGTACCAATATACTTTTAGGTGCATTGCCAGATGCAACTACGATATCTTGCATAGGGATTTGAATGAGTCATATTGGCCATTCGAGCAACCACATATTGAACATCAGTACTCCAGGAGTACTAGAAAAATTTCCCTGTAAAAGATAGTTTGCATTGTCCATATTTAACTCAATAGAATAGAAGAGAATGGTTTTCTTCGTCAATCTACTTACATCTGCAGTTCTTATTACATGTACAGGCTCTATCTGGTGACACTGCAACTGGTGCCATGACATATAGCTTTATCCAAGCTGTACAAAATGAACCCGGGATATCATATGGTCAATTACTAAATGCCATGAGCAAGACAATTCACGATGCCAAAACAAGAAAACTCCTAAATGGTTCCATTGCATCCCTTGCCAAGAAGTTACTCTTCTCAAAGTCATCACAGGTAAGCATTCTATTTATGCCAATTCTGAATGATGGATTTTATGTGCAGTATAGGTGTATCCAACTTCCAAAATATAAAGGGGAATGTAGGTTTCTAGCAAATACCTATACAGTAGAAAGCAAATAGGCAAAATAATAACTGATATGACAAATTTCTCACTCTTCAAGCAAAGTGTAAGAAGAAGAAACTTCCTCGCTTGTCAGAAAATGTAAGAATACTGAATATACCATCTTAAATTTCTTCAGTGATTAATTTATTTCAAAGTACACATGAAAAAGAATGAAGTTTAGTCAGAGAATTACAGTAAAAATTTGTTTACCTTTATCACCATCTTGACGTGGTTGATGTCAATTGTAAATTTTTGATTTGTTGGTGTGTTTTCAGGACCCTCAACTATCATCATCTGAGAAATTTGATATTTACTCAACACCGTTCACTCTGTAAGACTGCATTGTCCATTTAGAAAGTCGAACTTCTTTATCAAAATTAAACTGGAAAAAACATGAGATTGTAGTTAATTCAAGTAATCGAATTTCTGAAACCTAAGGCAATGAAACATCATCAATTATTCTAGTTCTCCGCCTATCCCCCCAGGCAGAAGAAACGTTCCAGGTACATAATTTTTCCTTTTCCATCCTCAATCTCAAGTCATACATAATTTTCCTTTTTCCATATGTAACCTCCTGTCCTTCTCTTATGTTCTGTGCGGACTAGTTGAGCATGCATGTACTTGTGATTGAACAATGTTATTGTATTTTATTTAACATAAAAATAAATTTACAGATTATGCATTCTTTATTTTGGTTATCAAATGATAAAAAATACAGGCTTTGGAAGCCTCATCATCGACCATTGTAGTTACTTGCATGAAGATTCACCCTAAGACTATTGTCCATCGCTCTAGGCTAGTTATAACTCTAAGGAACTGGAGAGGGTACTTCAGTCCAAACCTGCCTTGACGTAATCGAGGGGCAAGATGTTGCTAGGCCTAGTGGGAGGGGGGGCACAGAAGAAGGGACAAGTAGAAAAGCCCATAGATGAATCCTTAGATGAGTTTGTGGATTAGAAGGTGGACAAAATTTTGAGGGAGTCTAAGGTTCCAGCTTCGGCCAAAAAGGGAGAAATTGAGTGTGAGGAGGAAGAGATGAGGAAAGAGGGGATTGAAGTGGGAGAGCAAGAGTTTGGGCTTCGACCATGTGAAGCCAGGTGAATGAACAACAATTGATTGACTTTAGGGAGAGTTTTCAAATTCCCAACCACATCGAACTTCTCCATCTCCAGTGGGCTGACAACCCTCCTGAGAGCTGCATCACCATAAACAACACTTCCTATAGGCCAGCCTTCGGCTACCTCTTCACCCATTTTTCAGAGATTTCCTAAGACAAGATAAGCTGGTTCCGACTAGCATTATATATAACCACATTCTCTATATAATATTGTTGGTGGCAATGTATAGGCGATGAATGCAAGATAATTAACTAGTCAATCAAGTTAAACCACCATAAATCCAGTATAGGAAAGAATTTCATTATAAGCTAATCATATTCTTCAACAATTGCTATAATTTTCCAGATATTAATCAGTTTACTTTGAGCTAATAATATGTTTACACGGTCCTTTCCTTCACTCAAAATTCTTGCATCAATGTCCGGTGATGCACACACAAAGCTGCATTCATTGGCGTATCAGAAGACTTCGTGAAGAATTGAGCCAGCGAGAGTAGCAACCATTGAGTTTAGGCCAATCAGAGGATGGACAACACGTGAAATGATGAAGCCACAAGGACACACTCTTTCTTGCTCGTCTTCAGGTTCCATTGTCTCAATTATCTCTTCTCTATCGTTAATGCTGAGGACCTGGTGCATCTGTGCCATTGCTTGCACAGCATAGCAACGGCAGCCACGAAATGAGCAGTTTCATTTTGTTTGCCTTCGTTGCTCTGATATGTTTCTGTCATCTATAACTTTGTTCACGTCTTTCGATTGCTTGATCAAGAATGCTACAAATATAGTTAGGAATTAAGAAAAACTTTGTTATCAATACAAGTGATGCAAAAAAGTGAAAATTGATGCAATGATCATCAATTTCTTCGTCTACTGGTTAACCAAACAGAATTTGCACCACGGAACAATACAACGAACATAGTTTCATACTTCTTTTCTTAGTATTGGACGCGATAACAAGTCATGTCATCGAAGTCAGGATTCTGCAGCTATTCTGCAGTTATTTTGGACCAAATCTAAATAACTGTTCCAAATAATATGCCTATCTACAGCTTAACTAACAAGGAATTAGGAAAAATAGTTGTGCCAAGTAGTTACGTACCCGAGACCTTGACTAAGGATCCTTGAAGCTGTGGCTCAGCCGAAACAGAGAGCCGAGCCAAGTTAGAAGCTGAAGCCCATTTACAAACCGCTTCTTCCGAAGCGCCACAAGCTGCCATCTTCGGAGCCAGCCATAGAACTTCAGCTGCCAGCTTCCCAACCTGCTTAGCCCGTTCCTTGATTTCACATATTGGAGTTTCACCACAAAATTGTACAGAATCGAAAAACACTTGCAAATTGTACTATCTCACGAAAATCTGACACCTGAGCTGAAAGTTAAGCGCGTTTTCGTAGACCCTCCTTATTTCTCCTCTTTTTCAAACCGGGAAATAAAGAGGGCAAAAGTCGAAGAAAGAAAAGAAAAGTTGAGAAGAAAACAACGTAGAAGTTCAAGAAGTCTATATTTTCCTGCTAACTGCTAAGAATACAAGGGGTTTGTCTGCATAGAAAAACAGAGAAGTGAATTCCTGAGTAGTAAATGAGCTATGGCAGTTGGTGACCTCTCCATTATAGGCCCTTGTTTTTTAACTTCTCTTTTTTGTGGGACTTTTAATATGAAGACGTTTGATATGTTATGAAAGATATAACATTAATACAGAGAGAAATGGCTATTCATGGAATAAGAATCAATGCATGTACGAGGAAAGAGGATATGAGTGTTACACGGGATGTAAACCGTCTCACAAGTCGCTCGTGCATGGTCAACTTTTTTTATTGGAATTGTAAAAACTCATTATGACAAGTCGGTTCACTCGACCCATAAATCAACTCGTGTCAGTTGACGAGCAACTCTTCCTACTTAACATCCCTACAAGAGGTCCTAATGAATGAAATTTTCTTGGTACGCAGATTATCTCGACAGTTGAAATGTTGTTTGGGTAGGAAAAAAGTAGTTGACAGGACAATTGTTTCATTAGATTTATGTGACCTGTGAGTGAGGCAGAGACCAGCGTATTTAATTGGCCTTCACACATCCGGATTGGAATTTTCGAAATGATTACATCAACAAAAAGTTAGAACCTTTTATTGAAAACTATATACACAAATAATAATGAAACGTGAAATTTCAAAAACAAAAAAATATAGAAAAAGAATCATTAATATACAACAAATGGGATAAAATAAAGATATTGTTCCGTTTCTATGTCGAAAGTTTCAATATAGTTAGTTGACACTCAAGAAGCGATACTTGGGATGTTGAGGTTGAGATGACTGAGAAATGGACGAGCTCTCAAGAAAAGATTTTAATTGTTTGGAGAATTCCTTTGGCTTTTCAATATTAACAGCATGCCCTGCATTTTTTATCACTACTAGCTTGGCCTTCTCCCCTATATGCCTGCAAAAATTTGAACTCGGAGATAAAAACAAGAAGTGAAAATAACACATGACGTGCACGTTTGGTACGAAAGATAGTGCATCGTCGTGTCATGTCAAGCATAATGTACCAATAAGAAATTTATTAATCTTACATTTGGAGTCTGTGTCCCAATTCTACTGGAAATATTCTGTCTTGCTCTCCCCAGATGATCAATGTAGACTGTTTCAAGAAACAAAATTTGAACACGAACAGTTTAAAACAGAATTAAGAATTTTATCTAATTCTTAAAGAGTTTTTGGACAAGTAAAATTATTGTATGTGAGTATAGTAAACCTGTATTATTTTAGGAATATTAGAAATTTGTCTATCTTTGAGTATTGCTTGGATTAGTTCCTTCTTCTGTTTTATATGATCTGTACAGAAAACCTGTCCAAGTAATTGAATATTAATTATAAGCTTAAAAAAATTAATTGAATGAGAAAAAAAGTACTTACATCGATATAATCAGAAAGGAAGCAAGAGGGCACGACTTTAACAGGCTTCACAAAAGCAAATTTCATCAATTCCCTCAATTTATCCGGCGTTTGTGGCATCAAAATGCTGGCGGCTTCATCCAAATCCGCCACCTGAAAAAGCCCATCTCTCATATCTTTCTCCTCCAGGCACACGCCGGTGCAGCAAAGCACCACCTTCTCCACCGCCTGTGGAAACTGCGCCGCCATGCTGTACCCAACAAACCCACCATAACTAATCCCCACCAGGCTCAATTTTTGCACCCCATACCTCTCCATCAATCTCATAACACATTGTGCCTGAAACATCTCTGTTCTCTCCAGCCGCTTTGTGGTGGAGTCTCCGAAGAAGAGAAGATCCGGCACGTATATGTTGAACCGGGGCATGAAGTGGCGGAGAAGATCCCCGTATTGCCACATTGCGTTGGCTCCGAAGCCATGCACGAGGAGGAGATTAGGTTTTGTTGGCTTCACAGTTTTTGGTGCCCAACAATGCATGATGGTGCCGTCCTCTAAATCCGTCGTCACCGACCGTAGCCCGGAATACGAGAAAAAATTCCGGTACAGCCAATCTGCTGATCCTGTGAAACTCAGGCATCTGGCCATTCTTTATCCACTTTGATTATCAAAAAATTTCTATAAAATCATTTATAGAAATATCCTTCTTCAGTTGGTTGGTTTAAAATTTATAACTAAGAAAAAACAATGTTGAGGGAATTGGTGTGAGGCAAGACAACGACGGACAAATACAATACATACATACATATATATACATACACGGTTTTCAAATGAGAGATTGTTCACAAAACTACATTTGCTGGCGTTTGTTTCGGTTTACTTTCGGCAAATATAATTTATTTATTTTTCTAAAAAGAAGAATAATATGTATATAATATGAACATCGTGTTGCCCATTTAATTTAGGTAAAGGCCAGCAAAATATCATAGGAGGGTACAAAAAATCAGTAGAAACCTACGATCATGATGGAATATTGAACGGTTGGCGATCCATATCCTTGCACAAACACTGAAGCACAGCCAAAATGGCTCTCTTCTTGATGTAGAATAATATTATTCATCCATACTGGAGTTGACCCCCAATCCATGTGCATGACATCAAATGATAGGCTCAATTAAATGAATAATTTGATTTTGTATTTAAATGAATCTATCATTTAATGCCATGTAATTGCCACATAGATTAGGGCTCAACCCCAGTGGGGATAAATAACATTACTCCTTGATGTATGGCTGAAAGAAAGAACGCTTAACCTATTTTGATTATAACAAATGCAACCCGGCTTTGAATTATGAAAAAAATTATAGTGAAATTCTACTCTGAAGAAATCAACCAACAGTTATCTGGACAATAAGAGAGTATCTTAATATAAGAGGAGACGAGACCATTTTCACAGACTTTAGGAATAAATTTGATTCTTGTACTGGATTCTTTGGGATTTCGAACATCTGCAGCCTACCAAATCATGTCTTCTGGTAACCGCATAATGTACAAAAGCTGCATGGAACGGTAAGATTGTGCATTTTACCCCTTGAAGCGGACAACAATGCAGGAGATATCATCTTTACTTTCTCTGTTCAATGCTTCCATTGCTAATTGTTTGGCTGCTTTCTGGGGGTCTTTGATCTTCTTTGCAATATCAATGGCCTCTTGATTCGACATTACCTGGAGCATCCACAACCAAGAGGGACCCAATATGGGGGTTGGTTATAAATCCAGAAGGAAAAGAAGGAGATGGGACAAGTAAAGGTGGGAGCAAGTACGCACCTTCCACAAACCGTCGCTAGCAAGGATAAGAAGTTCGGTGTAACCATCAATTTGAGCATTTTTAACGTCAGGGTCGGACCGCAGGTGAGTTTTCAAGTTTTTGTCTCCAAAAGCACGAGAAACGGCTAACTGGCCATTCACTCTTGCAACATCTCCTGGTATCAACAAATCACCAAGATTGTTAGTAGAAGAATGGATGGGTGAAGTGGTTGTGCATATCCTATTTTATCAACAAATCATGCAAATCATCTACATATTCACCACCAAGCATGCTGTCTTCCGAAATTGCTTAACCTAAAACCACAGACAAGTTTATAGCATATAACACAGACGGATACCCCCCAATACATATATTCAAATGTCATTAATCAATTGCTAGTAGGTTCACTGCATATACCATTTGGACCTTGTCCACTTAACCTATCCTTTGCCAGAACCTTTCCCAGTTCAACTAAATCCTTAAGACTTCACCTTTCAGACAGTGTTTATCAAATGCAATGTTCTAGCTCTAGCCAAGTGCTATCATTCAGCATCTAAGGTTCAGAAACCACAAGGGAAAAAAAAAAATCTACATGCCAAGTATCATATAATTGCCTTTTGTCCAATCAGCTTTACTCAAAGTGAAACTTTCATCCATTATTTTGGTGAAAGTTACCAGTCATAATTCAGATCCAACATAGATTTAACTCTTTCTAAGAGAATGAACTATACATCCGTCAGAATTAAAAGACACCACACATATTTAAACCAAAAGAAATATTTTTGACATGACCATATAAAATCAGACCCCTGCATTGAGAAGTTGAGAGAAATAAGCATAGTTCAATCTTAAGTTACGAGAATGGCACTAATTGGATTTCCCCAGGTTAGGTCACTATGCCTGGTCTCCAGTTGAGATAAGCTGTCTCAGAGCAGATTCAATATGACACACGTGTTCTAGATAATCTGAAATGCTTATTTCAGCGATATACATGAGATAGCTATAACTCAATAACATCACATTATAAAATTCATGCAAATTTTTGAGGTTCCCATTTTAGACAATGATAAGATCCTGGAATTGCACAACGCCACCCATTATTTGGTCTAAAGAATATATTTCTCAAGTCACTGAAGTCAACAGTGCATGCAGGATAGAGTAATATTTCTAATTTCTATCATCATTGTGTGACTCTTTTTATCTTTAGGGTGATGTCGCACGTCTGCAATTGGAAACCTGGGGTTAATCCACATCTTTTAGAAGAAATATCATTAATACAGATTAGTGGATAATTGCAAGGACTAATACAAAATAATCTATATATCACAATACCTGGCATGTTAGAGACAAATCCACCTTTGTTTTCAATGCTACCCCGCTCCGTGTTGGGCTCATGGTCAACGGACATCTGCATAGCCTGCCCCTTTCTGGAAAGGACCGCTCGTGAATCTCCAACATTGGCTACCCACAGATGTCGACTATTTATAAGAATTGCAGTTACAGCAGTGGACCCACCTCGTCCCAGGTCAGGAGTATGCGAGAGAATTGCCTCATCGGTTCTTTCATAGGCTTTCGCAATAGAAGTATTTGGATCAGACCAAAAGTCGTCCTGTAATGATTCAATGCAGTGAAAAAACTAATTGGATACCTTTTTCCCAGCACTTAAAACAAATCATTTTTAACACACCATTTTTTTAAAGTTACAGGAGTAATTATATCAATTTTATCAAACAACACTATTCTTTTATAAAAATATACCACATAGTAGAAACGTGATTTTCATAGAGTAATCAACCTCCTTTAAAATATTGGAAAACAGATGCTTCTGTAAGTAAGCTGGAACACTATCACCTAGATGTCCATCATAAATAGCAAATAGTCCCAACTCACGACCATTCGTGTGTAAAAATTTAGCAACATGGTAATCCTCCATAGGATGACTTGCTTTTCCTTTTACTAAACTGAATCCATATTTGACAGGTCCCTGCTGGCTTCTTCCCTTCCCAGAGCCGCAAGAAGAACGTCCTCCTGAAAGCTAAAGGAAAAGGAGAACTTGACCTTTGAAATTCACCAGAATCTTATAGAAGAAATAAAGAATAACTGAAGCGAAAAAAATTCACATGTTGAAGAAGCAAATCTAGTTCCTTCCTTACTCAAATTCCTCTCTCGGAATTAGAATAAAATAAACACAGAAATCAAAGGCCAATCTCCAAACAGGGAATTGTTGAACAGGACAAAGCTCTGCGACAAGTACTAGTGGTGCAGATATGAGTAGAAGGAAAAAACAAAAAAATGATCTCTATGTTAATTGTTAACCCAATTATGAGTCTGTGCTTCTGTCGAAAACAGAATTCATATAGGTGGAGTCTCTTATTTGATTTTTAAACCACTCCAGATAAGTATCAAAGAGTTGAAGCATGAGGGCCTCTCTTCACCAATAATTTCATTTTCAAATCGAGCATCAACTCTCATACATGAAAACAAACTATTCTTCCCTCCTCGGTTTCTCTATGATAGTTGCACCTCCACATATATCCTATGTAATAATAATTCGTGACTATACCAAAGACATATATCTGAACTCATAAGTCATTAACCCTCGTTCATACAGACATAACCCATGTAATAAGCACACTTTAAGGATTCCAAGGACATGTCAAGGAAATTATACCACAATCAAAATTGAACTTCCTCATAGTTCAGCAAAAACCTCGAGAAAACTTGAAAAAAAAAAATGCACAAACTATATATTGATAATCACAAATTCGTGTCAAAGCCTAAAAGAAATTTAAAATATGAATATGGCTGAACTGCAAAATCTCTCAATATCACAGCAGTCAACAATAATCTCACCTGAGGGAAACAGCATAAATTATCCATATAATTCAGAAGCCCCACCTCACTCTCCTCTACAATTCAACATCTACCTCGTACTACTTAAGTTGAAAATCCACAACCTGTAACTTAAAAGAAAAAAAGAAGAAAGGTTCTTGATAATCAAAATCCAAATAAGAAACGTATTCAATATTCAATTTTTCTTCAAGAAACAAGAAAATAACCGAAATCACCACATGGAAATCCTAAAATAAAAAACCCACTTACCGATCCACCAATCCCCAAATCAAGAAAAAAAATCCGTGGGCTACTGATATGATTTGACTATGCTGCTAAAATAACCCATACGCAGACAACTATGGTTGTGTATAAATCAAACAAATATAAATATATGTAAAGATCACAAAAGGAGAAAATAACAAGAAAAAGGAAATAGTAACAGGTGTTATGGAGCCATGGGGTAATATTCGTTGGTGCAGGCGAGAATGGGTGCCAAGAGACCAAAGGCATTGGGGTTTGGCCTCCCATTGTTGACTTTGCTGTCTTTATTATTTCTTTATTGTTTTGTACTAAAGTAAAGGACACAACCAGTCAGAGGTAGTCTCTGTTTGTTTTATGTTATTACAGCTGTTTCATAACTTGACCATTCTTGTTCCAAAGGTGTCAGGCTTCTCACGAGACACAAGAAAAAGGGATTTATATTTATTTATTTTTAAGGAAAATTGAAGCAGCGAATCATAATTTTTTCAATTTTTGTAAACTTTACCCTAATTTTCAATTTGTGCCAACGAAAGTTTCTAACATTTCATAAATATGCATTTAGAGTCCAACTGGATAAAAACTATCCATTTGATCGATAGTTAACCAAGAAATTAGATTTTGACCAAATTAAAATGGATAAAATGATAAATTTTTTATTTAATCCCATAAAACAATTAAAATAACTAGAAGAAAAGAAAAAGAAAAGAAAACTATTTATCTCCTTCCTCCCAAACCAAAAATCAGAGCCCCCACTATCACGGCCACAACCACCACAGCTTTCCCACCAGGAATCGAACTAGTTGGGCATCCAATTAGTACAAATTGAAGGTTATGGTAAAATTTATAAAAATTGAAAATATTAGGTACCACTGCTGCAATTTTCCCTTTTTTGATTTTTGTACTTTGTTCTGATTTGACCCTCGTGTGGGGTCCCTATTTGTAGTCAGCCCATATACTTTTTTTTTTCTTTTTTTGAATATCCAGGTATTTTAGCTTACACCAGACTATGTTCTGGACCACCAATCCCCGACCTCAGTGATGGGTGGAGGTTAACCGCGAGATATGTCCAAGTTGACCAGGGCATGTGCACCCTTTATACTCTTGGTCTCAAGGGAACCTTCCTCCATGGATATTACATCACCAAGCTGCTCCGCCCAAATTGAATATTACAACACTCAACTACTCCATCCAGAAATCGAACTCCCCACCTTGAGGTTGAAAGCCCAGCAATGCCCATCTTTTACCAACTTGGATGTGCTCCGGGACGACTTCTTTTTTTCAACTTGGAGTTTGCTTTTAACTGTTCGTTACCACCATTATCAGGTTCAATCTCCAAGCCTTTTTCAATTTATTATTCCTTGGTGCGCTGGAGAATTTTTTTAATCCCATGAAACTACCTTTCTTTATGAACTATTGTTCCATCCTTCCTTCCTTCCTTCCTCTCTCTCTCTGTCTTTTTTCTTTTTTTCCTTCTAGGGTGCAGCATAATTAATAAAAAATAAATGGCACGAGAAAGTATAAAAATAGTCGACAGTAATAGAATCTTTGACCCTATGAAGAAAATAACACTGGAACTTATTTGGTAAATTATTGAGGGAAAAAACATACGAAACATTTACTAAATGTATCGTGTCATCTTCTTAAGATCATTTTTAATCAATTGGACGTGATTTGGAGCTTAGTTATTATACTTGACCGATCGTTGTAGGCACTGAATCGATCAAGACATTGGTTGCTCACTTGTGGGACCGAGGTCCCGGCTTGAAATTTTTTTTTTTTTTTTCCTCTAACACTTGTTAGATATAATGTTGTAAATTAATTAGACTTCTTGTGTTGCTTTCCTTGTTGTATTAATTTAAAATTAAAACATTCAATTCCAATTCGAATCCTAGTGAATTTCAACTATCTAAACGTATTATAGTCAATCAAGAACTCAATTCTCTAGTAGAACATACTATATATTTAACACGTATTTTTTTTGACAATGGAATTTCAAGAAGTTAGACAGTCAGCTTTGCATTCAAGATTCAACGATGAAGAAAAGCAAATTCTTCGTTTTCTTGTTCCTTATTTGCATGTTCACATGTTTCAATGGTGGATTAGCCATCCGTCCTCCGCCACGAATCCATCACAATCGTGATTGTTCGATGATTTTAATAAATGCAGATGGTTGCATAAGAGACCTGCTATCTTCTTTCTTTTCGAGATATATTGCATTGCATGGACATTGTTGCCATATTGCTTCAAAGCTCTCAGCGAATTGTTTCGAAAAAGCATTTATCGGCAGCCCTACTTTTCATAGCAAGATCTTAACTTTCTGCACTCGCCATCGACGAGGGATCGATTAGTCAAATAATTTTGCTTTTATTTATTATTTTGCTTTTGCAATTTTATGATCTATGTAAGTTAACAGTCGATTACGATAGGATTGTTTAATTCTTTTAATGTGTTTATTTCTCCTTTTTTAATGAATAATGAATGTTATCTCCAAACAGCAAAGAAAATACAGCTTCACAAAATTTTATGAAAACAAGGTAAAATACTCTACGAGGATGTTACTGGGATTCTGCACGCACAATACATATTAAGAAACAGCGAATCAATTACCTTGTCAAGTATACACCTGTTTTATTGTCAGTACTAACACTGATATTCCCTGTACATCGAAATTAAGTCCTGAGGTAGTCCGGGATTTAAAGGCGAAAACGGAAAACAAACAAAAATAACACAGATGCCTTATGAAAAAAATGATTAAAATGTTCTAAGGTTAGACAACCTTTTGTTCAGCTCTTGGCAGCAGAAAGGCTCTCGTAGAAGAGAATATACCCGTGATCTGTGTTACTTGAGTATTCTTGAGCTGATCCGAAAAACGTCTGGACAGCAGATTCATCAATCATCTCCACGTTTTCATCGTCAAAGAACAACCAGTGGTTGTGGCTTTTGACAAGACTAACGTAATGTCCATGGTTTGGGCCGCTCCCGACATGAACTACCACAGCAAACAAAGAGTATTCAGAGTCGGTATCTTCCATAGTATTGCTCAGTTTCAGCTCCAGTGGGAACACTACACGATATGACAACTTTTTGTATCGACCAAGTTGCTCCATGTACTTGAAACGCTTAAGATGAATGACCAGGATATGTGGTGGTTTCTTTATCTTCATCCTCTTCTGGGCTTCTTGCAAACTGCATTACGGTAAGGGAAAAAAAAACTGAGTTTCTGTTTTGTCATTTAATGATTGATATTATGAATGGACAGAGACACCTGCCTACAGCATTTATCGCAGAAGAATTTATCCTCAGCATTCAGGGTCTCTGTAGAACTGAAGTTCTTGAGGCAGCTAGTAATTGAACTGTTTTGTTCAATATCAAGGCTCAAATCTAAGAATGTCTCGTCCCTTGCTGTAACTGTCTCACACCTAAGACACCTAGTCTCATTGGTGAGAATGCCCTGTATTTAGGTAAAAGTCGAGATCAACAGATGAGAAGCTAGTCTAACAAGCGAGCATCTTCCAAAACATTAGACAACCTCAGAGCTTCAAAAATTACTAAATGATTAAGATATATTAACAAGTTCAAGAATTTAGGCTCATTATTACACTGTTAACTGTCAAAACATTGAACTAGCATAACACAACAGGCTTGTGAAAAATAGAACATGAAAATCGAATAAATTTTTAAATTCGTACTACAATAGAACTTGCAACAACTTGCCTGAAAATACTTGTGCACCAAAGTAACCAATGGTTCCTTCTTAAAACCATTAACCTGAGCATTATTGAGCCCATTTGCAACAAGCTCAGCAGAGGAAGTTTGTGGTAAGTTTGTCGCTTTGTGGGATTCTTTCTCCAGTATGTCAACGAGTTCATTTAGTAAAAAGTTCAAAAATTCATGGGCATCCTGCACAACAGCATGAACATCACATCACTCAGATCTATTTTTGATCTTCAAAATCACAATAAATATGCATACAAAGTAAACTTGGCATTCTATCTTGGATTGACCCAACGATATAGAGACAGAATAAAGATACAACAGCATCTGCAGATTCCCTCTGATGCTGGTGACCAATAGACCTTTTAAATGAATCTCATCCCAGAATTATACAACAATTTCTTTTTAAAGATAAGAGGTATATCCAGAAGAAAGGATATACTCATTAATCTGACCAGTTGAACTGTGTGCTAGCAAACCCATGTAAGACATTGTCACATACCCTCTGCAGAGTACAAGATACATTACGAATGAGAGAGAGAGAGAGAGTAATAGAATATATCCAATTGATATATTCACAAAAAGTAAAGAAGGCTGGCACAGCACGGAGACATTTACAGAATTATCACTCCCACAAAAATAGTACGTGAAGACAGGACAGTTAAATGACTTGGGGGTATACTTCCATTTTCAGCATTTGGAATGAAATTTAAGCTCCTGAAGTAATAATAAACAACTTCAGTCAAGTCTGGAGGGTAATTCTGATGACTGAATATGCGTTTCAACTTTTTCTTAACCACTCTCCAATTGCAACCGAACTACCTACTTCAATATCAATAATGCATTCCCTCTGACCCTTTTGATCTTCTTATTTTATATTGCAAATAATTAAGAGAACGCAATGAATACAGTATATTTATATGTCCTATTTCAGTTTCCTAACAACTCGCATCTAACCAAGGTAATTACCACGACGCTGCGCACAGAGTAAATTTTCGCCCATTTTAAATTAATAAGGGTATTTTTGGTATCAAGAAATTCTAATGATTTGAATTGGTAAAAAGATAAATTTTAGGGTAAAAAATATAGTAACTTGGAAGAACATAACTGGATGGAAGGAAAAGCAATAAAGTTATGCCTGGAAAGAAGTTCCGTTATTATTAATTTTTTGGAAACCAATTTCTTATTGCTGCATGAATGTTTCAACTTAAGAAAAAAAGATTTTTGATTTGATAAATGTTTTGATGATGCATATAAAATGTCCATATATCGGCAAATGATGGATTGGACTTTGCACTGCCAATAACAAGTAGAAAACAAATCACAATTACCTGATGCATATATCCACGGAAAAGCTCATTTTGTTTTCTCACTCTATTTACAAAGCGTTTTGGAGCTATGACACCTGTTTTTTTCTTCTGTGAACTAATCTGCATAAATAACATCAGGTTGGTGCCTTCAACATCTCATGGAAATGGTACGTTGAACATGCATGTTGATGATCTTCAGTCTTCACTACCAACCAACAATATAATTTGTGTAACACACTATGTTATGACAAGCAGGCATATTTCTCAGTTACGTAAATCTATTTTAGCGAACAATGCATAATTCAAGCCATTAAAAGCTCAATAGACAGATTTAGACAGACCATGAAAACTGTTGCAACGATTGTTACTATATACAAGACATAATGTGCAACCATGGGTAAAGAAAAGCCAAGGGCTGCATACGGACTAAATATTATGTATACAATCTTGATGAAGTCTACCACCAAGCAAGCAACTGGACTCATATAGTAAGTTTAAAAAAAAACATTGAATTATTTAAACTTCAAGGCAGTTTACTTGCAAAAAAATCTCTCATCTTCCACATGTTGGAAGGATGGCACGTGCCCCTTCCATTTGTACTTAATTTCCATAATAAATAGACATGGTAGACCCCCCCCCCCCCCCCCCCCCC